GAAGGTTGCATGAGGAAAGGCTTCTAGTCTAACTCCGGTAATAAGTCCACAAACTCTAACCCAAACTGGTAATAACAGACTCCGTCACACAATATAAAGAGATTAATTCTAAGCTGATCTATCCCAATCTGGAGCTTGTAGATCTATTCCAATGGTGATATTCCATGGAACTTAATCATATGGCCAAAGGGCAAGGTATTAGCCACAGGTGGTGAGAAGACTAGACAAAAATCGTTAAGCCAAGTGAGTCTAGTGAGGATCTACAAAATTAAATTGGAATCCAAGCAAGGACGCCAGTTCCACAGGTGATGAAATGGTAGTGTTGCATTATGCTAGTGACACATCTCGAGGATCAGTGATAACAGGTGACTGGAATAACTGGGGTTAATCTCTATAATTAATATTCTATATACACTGCTCTCTGCAATAATGGACCAGCAGGTTTAGGCAGGTTTAAACTAGTGGTAGGATTTCTTCCCTTGTGAAAGTCCCACCTAACGTATGGACATATCTACATGATGTTGAACATATAGTTAGGTAAAAAAAGTGGTTAGCGTAGCTAGTTTTATAGTAATATATGTACTAGGCAGTATTAAACTGCAGATTAACTGTAGAGACATAAAGAGTATTCATGTATCAACCAATTTTCAGTTAGTTTGTAGAAACACTTGGTATCTGTTTGGATATTAAAATTATCAATAAAGATCACATGCTGTGTGCATGTTCCACTTTAAAAAAAAAATTAGAATAAACTATTTTTTAATTATTAAAAAACATATGTTTTAAATTTAAAATTATTTAAATAAGAATTTGTTTATTTATAACAAAAATAATTTTTTAAAAAAATATTGCATATTACTATAGATTAAATTTAATATATAGGATATAATCCACTATTATTTTTAACAGTATTCTAAATTTTATGTAAATCTATGTAAGTCTGTTAAATTCTAATTTTCAGGATAATAAACATTAGTAGAAATACTATTAACAATACCTATTATCTCTTTATGAAATCCATATAATTTTAAATAATTGATATTTCTAATAATTATAACATATATTCAAAGTTATGTAATAGGTTAGTATTCAAATTGTTATATAAAATCAAATCAAAAAAATTTTAAAAAAGATATATTTTCACATTGTAAATTATACTATTATTATTTAAATTTTTTTATATTTGTTATTTTTTTATAAAATATTTATTTAAAATCTTATGAACATTATTATTCTACAAATTATTAATATATTTAAAAATATTTTTCACAAATTTATTATATAAAATTAATTTAAATATTGTTAAAAAATTGATAATTTATATAATTTAATCAATAATTCTAAATAGATAGTTTATGGATTTTTGTATTATTCATTAAAAAATATTTTTTAAAATATAAATAATTTAAATAAATTTCAAATTATATATTATATTATTTATTTAGTTTACTAATATTATCTAATATAATAAAAAAAGTTAAACTCCAAAACTTAAATTTGTCGACAAATATGATGTCATTTACAGTATATATATATATATTTAATGCTTATTGTTTTTAAAAAGTGCTTTACTATAATTAATTTGTTTTGAAAATAGGAATCCGAGGATCATCGGCAAAATTAATACAGTATACAGTAAAAGTAACTTTTTTTGATGCCTACGATCATCAATTAATTTAAGGAATCACGTGATGTGAGTTGACCTGTAACTACATCATCTATACTACAGTATAAATTTCGTCATGATATTATTAAAATTTTAGAGATTAAAGTCCGATTTTAGGTTTGGGCAACTGGTCAAGTAACACTGTATATCAGAAGTTCTACGAAAGAGGAATTACACTATTTTTCAAAAGAGAAGTAGCAACAAAAATCTTGGATAAAGCACTAACAATACAATTTCTGCTCCGAAGTAGCACACTATATGCATTTCAGTCATAAATGTTTTTCACTAGCAATCAAACATTTAGATAAATTTAAGTGAATAAAAGGAAATCCTTGGTCAAATCGGAATAAACCATTATAATGACTCTGCTACCATTATCGACAGAATCTCCATTTAACCATTGTAATACATGTAATACATGCTAAATTGAATCGTTAATTTCCATTCTTTATAAGAATAGTGAATTATACTTTATTATGACGAGCATATTCATGCGATTTACTAAACTATTTGCATGTGCTATTTGAGTTTTACATTATGTTTTTACATCAAGGATATTAGGATATAGTTTTATTTTCTTGACTTTCTTGTGTATTACCATTATTAATTTCTCGGTGATCAGTCTATTCCCTCAAGGCCCCTATGCCTAACGACTATGCCTATGAATACCATTTAAACTCTGAATATCTACAAAAACGTAGTAACATTAATATCCATCCGAACATCTAGAACACATTCATTTGCAATTTTTGTATTTAAGCTTTAAGAAATCAATTGTAAAACAATAAGCTTTATAACAACTCTATTCTCAGCTACCCATGAAATACTTTTAAGATACGAAATGTTGTAAAATAATAATTAAAATAATAATTTTTGATAATTTTTATGTCTCCCAAATAATAAATTAAATAAGGAGAATTTCATTATTATAAGAAGCTTTCTTATTTGTTGATTTATCAATAATTAAGGTTAATATAACTTTGTCGAGTCTTTTTAGCTTTAGCCAATGCCTCCCTTGCCGAATCTGTTATTGAATTATTACTTATATCTAATAAAGTCAGGGTGGTATTCTTGCATAGAGCCTCAGCCAGTGCTTTTCCTGCCGAACCTCCTATTGAATTATAACCTATATCTAATACAGTCAGTGTGGTATTCTTGCATAGAGCCTCAGCCAGTGCTTTTCCTGCAGAGCCTCCTATTGAATTATAACCTATATCTAATACAGTCAGGGTGGTATTCTTGCACAGAGCCTCAGCCAGTGCCTTTCCTGCCGAATATCCTATTTTGTTATTATACAAATTCAAATTCGTCAGGGTGGTATTCTTGCATAGAGCCTCAGCCAGTGCTTTTCCTGCCGATTCTCCTAAATTATTATTTTTCAAATTCAAATTAATCAGGGTGGTATTCTTGCATAGAGCCTCAGCCAGTGCTTTTCCTACCAATTCTCCTATTGAATTATCGCCTATATCTAATACTGTCAGGGTGGTATTCTTGCATAGAGCCTCAGCCAGTGCTTTTCCTGCCGAATCTCCTATTGAACTATCGCTTATATCTAATACTGTCAGGGTGTTATTCTTGCACAGAGCCTCAGCCAGTGCTTTTCCTGCTGAATCTCCTATTTTGGTATAATGCAAATTCAAATTCGTCAGGGTGGTATTCTTACATAGAGCCTCAGCCATTGCTTTTCCTGCCGGTTCTCCTATTGAATTATAACCTATATCTAATACTGTCAGGGTGGTATTCTTGCATAGAGCCTCAGCCAGTGCTTTTCCTGCCGAATATCCTAAATAATTACTTCGCAAATTCAAATTCGTCAGGGTGATATTCTTGCATAGAGCCTCAGCCAGTGCCTTTCCTGCCGAATCTTCTATTGAATTATAGCCTATATCTAATACTATCAGGGTGGTATTCTCGCATAGTGCCTCAGCCAGTGCTTTTCCTGCCGAATCTCCTATTGAATTATAACCTATAGCTAATACTGTCAGGGTTGTATTTTTGCATAGAGCTTCAGCCAGTGCTTTTCCTGTCGAATCTCCTATTAAATTACGATACAAATTCAAATTCGTCAGGGTGGTATTCTTGCATAGAGCCTCAGCCAGTGCTTTTCCTGCCGAATCTCCTATTGAATTATAACTTATATCTAATCCTGTCAGGGTAGTATTCTTGCATAGAGCCTCGGCCAGCGCTTTTCCTGCCGATTCTCCTAAATTATTACTTTGCAAATTCAAATTCGTCAGGGTGGTATTCTCGCTTAGTGTCTCGGTCAGTACTTTTACAGTAGATTCACTCATTTTACTATCGTGCAAATTTAATTCTGTAATGAAGGTATTCTTGATTAATGCCTCAACTAGCTCTTTTCCTATTGAACAATATGATAAATCCCATTTTGTTCCATTTTCAAGGTCTTCTGACGTATGCAAAGGATTATTGAGGATTTGCATCCAAAGCTCTAATGACCTGATAAAATTTCTTATTCTGAACGATTCTTTGGCTTCTCTCCGCAAATTTTGAAGAGTAGTCTCTGAATATATACTTTTGTCAACTTGTATATCCTCTTGTCTAGTGTCTAATGCCGCGTATCTTTCATCTATCATTGACATTGAATCTTTTGGATAAAAATTAGCAATAGAATGATCTTGACTTAATGATTTTTCGCTATTATCGCCGTAAACTTTTAATAAGTAAGAGTCTGTTAAAATAGAAACAATTTCTTCTATATTCGGTCGTTCGTCTGGAGTTATACTTTGGCATCTTTTATATAATTCAACAAAATTTCTGGGAGTACCTTCAATTGGATTGAGCGGTGGATACGGAAGTTTGCAACTCGATATTTCCCATAAAATGATTCCATAGCTGAAAATGTCTAATTTTTTGTTTCTCTTAAATCCATACGTAAGGGTGCACTGTGGATCAATATATCCCGGCACTCCTTTAAGAGCCGAAATAGTTGTTGTGCTTTCATCTAAACATTTAGAAAGACCAAAATCTGCTATCATCATTCTATTCTCATGTACTAAAACATTCTTTGGATGCTTAAATAGTGAATCCACGGTTAATGCATAAATCAATAAAGTAAATTAACTATTAATGCATAAGATAATTACCAGGTCTCTATGTATAATGTTTTTTGAATGCAAATAGCGTAACCCTTTTGCAATATCTAAAGATATTTGTCGTTTATCTTCCCATTCAAGTGAATCCTTTTGAGTCGCCAAATATTCACGAAGATTTCCTTCATTCGCATATTGCAATACAAGCATATGTATTTTTCTTTTTGGGTCTAAAATAAATATTCTTAACAATTAGGAATAAAAATATAAATCCATACTAAAAGTTACAAACCTCTTGTTACACCATAGAACTTATTAAGGTTTGGATGATTTAAAATTTTAAGCAACTCTATCTAAGAAAGCCTTATTTTAATTTAAAATGTCTTTAAAGAACCATTATTAGAGTTTTCTTAATTACCTCACGTAGAAATTCCTTAAAAGATATTTCATCTAGTTGCGATACATTGTCAGTTCTTAGACTTTTTAATGCAACCTTTCTTTCTAATAATTCTGACTCTGCGCACTCTACGACACCAAAACCTCCCCTTCCAACTTCTTTCACAATATAAAATTGACTATAATCGAAAGAGTTGATGTGACCATCTTTTATTGCATCTTCTAACCATCCAAAATGATTGGTGGGTCCTATTTTTTATTTAAGGAATATTGTTTACATATAATTATTTATACAAAATACTGTATCCAACTCAATTACCGGACATATTTTGAAATTTGATTCAATTCTTAACGTAAGCGTTAGCTTATGTACGAAATCGAAATTTTATTTTAGAAACCTGAATTTACTGTATGCTGTGTCGATGTAAAGACCAATAATATGATAACCAATTTAGTACAAAATACCGTATTTAAATGAAGTGCATTTGTGTAACGTACATACAACTGCATTTTGAGTAGAATTTCCGTAGAATTTCGGATTACGTATATTATAGAAAAAAATTTTGAAATCGCAATTACAGTACTGTACGTGAATCGTAATCGAATTAAAATATCAAATTTCAATATCGATTTCCATATTTAAATAATAAATTAATAATTGTAAAGTTTGAACATGGATTTTAGATCTCAGATTTGCATCTTGGAGCTTTTTTATATCTTGAAATTTAATATTCAGAAATTTTAGCAAAATATATGAACAAATTAAATAATAATAAATAGAGAAATTATTTAATTAATAAACATATTGCCATCTATATTGGCGATTTTATCACTAACCCAGACCAAGACTCACGTAACATCAGGTAAGTGGTCTCTATTGCTTGCAATATCAAAGGTACTTGGTAGTGGTAGTAATGTTTAACTTCCTTTTGTCTTCTCTTGATTTTCTCTTTTATATGTCACTAAGCTTTTAGGACTTCTTGGTATTTTAGGATAATTAAGTGTGTTTGTAGGAATTGAATTGTTTGTTTTAAGTAACAACAAATAAGATAAGTTTATTAATTATCATTGCACAAGTACAGATGATTATTTACAATGCAATCTACTGTATTAATTAATTTGTTTAGTAATTATTCCTTACATCTTCTTGATGATCTTTATCCAGTTTAAAAAGTTTCCAACTAGAATCAACCATTTGCTTCCTGTTTCAAGTGGGATGTTGCTGTTGCTATCCATTATGATCAAATGAAGTTTAGTTACAAAATATCTAATCTCATACAAACAAAAGATTGGATACTGTGCCATAGGTAAAGTTTATAAAAAAAAGTAAAAAATATTGGTCTTTATTCCTGTTTGCAATTATATGTTTTGCTATATTAACATTTTTGTTGTGTTTTGTTAGCCTATATCTTCTAGTTGTATGAAAAATATCACTAAACTTTTTGTTATTAAAGGAGCCAACACAAACCCCAATGGTACTTTTAGTTTGCTATTCAAGGTAACTTGTTTAAGAACAAAAAAAGTGGTTTTCAGCCTTATAGATTCTTTATTAACAAGAATTATATTTCTAAAAAGAATACAGTATAGTGTTGCTAATTAATATATTTGTGAGTTCTTTAATAAAAGTTTTTTTTCAAAAGAAAGAAAATATCTTAAAAAAATTTTTAAGGAATATATGATGAACAAAAAAAAATTTTTTTTAAAGGCTAAGTGTATTACATTTGAACTTTTATTAACTTAACATTAAAATTACAATAATTACATAAAAGGTCTGACTAATTATTCAAGCTAATCCAACCTAACACCTGCCTAAAAAAAAGTTTTTTTGAAGTGTTTATAATATAATATTATAAATATACTATATATATATATATATTAGTGGTTTTCTTTATAGGTAAATATTATTTCTTTATTTTATTTATATTATATATAGTATATTTCATAAAAGAAACAATACTTTTTTCAATGTTTCAAAAAGTTAAATATTAGCTTATTAAACTAATATTAAAATAGTACTGATCTATAGTAAATTTAATATATGGGTTATGACCTACTTATATGATTTTATAGTAAATTTAAGTATCAAACTGGTATTGAAATATTATCAAAATAATATTATTAGAAATCCTAGGTGCAGCAAATATTGTTATGGTGATATTGTATATAAAAATGATTTAAAACAAATATTAAACCTAATAACTTTGTTTGAGTATATTTTTGAAAAAATATTTAATCTAGTGATATGATAATATTAATAAGAATAGTTTTTATAATATAATAAAAATAATAAAGGATGCAAGAGAACAAAAGAAAAAAAACTGCTAAAGACCTTTTCTTATGCAATCAAGAATAAGCAAGACTTTTAAACTTAAATAAACTTTAACTAGAGGTCCTATTCCACTGCATTGATTGTTTTAAAAGTTCTTAAGTTTCTAAATTAGCATTTGCAATAAAGAGAATAAAACATTTTTTCTTGACAAAAATTATTATAAAAAACTTTTTTAGCAAAACAAATGCAATCAAAAGAGAGTTTTTTTATTATATATATTTTTTATTTATTTAAAATTATTATTATCATTTAATAAATAAATTAAATTAAAGTCTTGATTACTTATTTTAAATATACAGTGGTGATCAAAATTTTTTGGACAAAAATAATTTTAATTATATTTCAATAGTTATTTAAAAAATTAAATAAAAAATTGTTTATATATATTTGAGACTATAAAGAACAAGTTTACTTAATAACTATTTATATAATATATTATTAAAATTTTATTAAAATTTTATTTGAAAAAATGTTTTTAAAAAATTTTTTTGATTTTAAAAACTTTATAAAAAATCAATAATAAATAATTAATAAAATTATTTTATATTATAAAATTGATTAATTAAGATAAATAAATTAATAAAATGCCAATTTTATAATTTTTTTATAAAATTAATTTTATAAAATAAAAAATCATGAAATTTTAATAATATAATTTCTATATTATAAAAAACATTTGATAAAAATTTTTGTATCAAATAATTTTTTTGAATTTTTTAAAAAATTTTATTATAATAAAAATAAAATATTTCCAATTAGAATTTTTTTAATGTTAAGTGAGTCATTTTACACGATCTTTATTTATATAGTAAAATGAATTGTTACATGATTAATATTAAGATGTAAGATACATTTCAGCCTACCACCCGATTAGTTATATCTCTAGAAAAAAATCCTTAAGCAGGGAAAAGGAAAGGAACTATCTAATCTTGGAGAGCTAATGCCTCCCTAATAATTTATTCTATCTTGTAGGGGCATAAATAGAGTCTCAAAGAAAAGTTTAAGTGTGATATTAATTAGTTTGTGTTGATATATTTGTTTGTTATTGTTTGATAGGTTGTTTGTTTGTATTTTGTTGTAAGTAGTTGAGTTTTTGTTTAGTTTTTTGTTGTTATTTTTTCTTCTATATTTAGTGTTTTGAGATATGTCAAGGAAGCTTTCCTTTGCAATTATGTCTTTGTTTATTGGGATCCAGATGTGTTGGTAGATGAGTTCAAGTGTTTCGTTTTGTATTTCATTAAGAATTTTAAGATCATATTGTGTTGCTTAAAAATTGTTGAAAAGATTTTTGAGTTGTAATGTGCCTGTTGCAAAATTAATTAGTTGGATAGTGGTATTGATTGTTTTTTAGACTAGGTGGGGATTAAGGTTTTTATTATTTTTGAATTTTTTTGCAATTAGTATTTGAGTATCAAATAATATTTTTATAATTGTGTTTATGTTGTGTTTGCAAAGTCAGATATGGTGTGTAGTTTCTGGAAAAGAGTTACAGTGTGGACATGTATCATTTGTGTAGATATGTGATAGTATAGTATGAAGTTGAGATTTAGTTGGGAGTGTATTGGAAAGAATTTTAAGATGGAAGTTGTAGATTTTGGATTGATATTGATTTGTTGGTACTGTTATATTTTTGAGAAAAGTTAGGGCATTAGTTAGGAATGAGAAATCTGGTTTGAATGTTGTTTGAGTGCAATAGGAATAGATTATTTCTGTGAAACAGACAGTTTTGTTTATTTGTTTGATATATTGCCTTGTTGATGGGATAGGATTTTTGTTTGTGTTAGTGAGTGTAAAGTGTATTGATGAAGGGTCAATTATATTGATTTGTAGTAGTTGAAAGTTGGTTGATTGTATTTTTTGTATTGCAGATATGGGTTTGAAAAAGGTATGAGAGATTTGAAAAGTTTGTATTATGTTATTAATATTTGAAATAGTAATGAAATATGGGATTTTACATTTTTTCCTATGGTTGGTGGGTGGTGAAGAAAAGGTTTTGTGATTTAATTTTGGGTGTTTGGTAAAAAAGTGATATTCTTTTGATTTGTTAGATAAGAAGATTATAATTATTGTATGGAGAAGTGATAGATAGGAATTGGATTTAATATTGATTGTGTATGATTTGTAGTGTTGAATAAAGTTCCTGGTTACTGATGTGGTGCCAGTTTGGTATTTGTAATATTGGTGAGATGTGTTTTTGAATTAATGATTCATGTAGGTTTGGATAAATCAGTATTTGTGGATTGTTAA